CAGAGGCTATACCAGACTGCACTCCCTCCAGCAACGGGCTCTGGGGGTCAGACAATGCTGGGTTCCAGTCCTGCTTGATCAGGTCAAGGAAGGAGTCACAGTTGGCTGCTGGAGGGGGAGGACGACAAACCTCCCTCATAGCTAATAATAATACAGCAGGCCCACTGAGGGTCCACAGGGTGTCAGGCACTGGGCCAAGCACATCGCCCGTGAAATCTGCTTTAGTCCTCAGCATAACTCAGGGAGGTTGGAGCAACTCATAGTCCCATTTTACAGAGAAGGAAACTGCATCTCAGAGGCAGGACATGACTTTTCCAAAGTCACAGAGTGACTGGGCTTGAACCCACATGTTCAGACTTCAGAGCTAGTGGGCTCTTCTGCTTCCCCGTCTTGGGGTGGTCAGCAAGTTGCCCCCCAAGCTGGAGTCTAACCAGCTTTTTCTCAACATCCCCTGTATTTGTCTCCTATTGCTGCTGTAACAGATCACCACAAACTGAGTGGTTTAAAACAACAGGAACTTCACAGCATTGTAAATCAACTATACTCCAAAAAAAAATTAATTAATAATTTTAAAAACCATGAACTTACTACCTCACACTTCTGGAGAAGAGAGGTCTCAAATGGGCATTACAGGACTAAAATAAAGGTGTGGGCAGGCTGCGTTTCTTTCTGGAGGGTCTAGGGGAGAGTCCATTCTTTGCCTGTGTTGGCTTCCAGAGGCTGCCTGCTTTCCTTGGCCCGTGGCCCCTTCCATCTTCAAAGCCAGCATTGGCCAGTCGGGTCTTTCTCACAGTGTTGCATCACTCTGATGCACCCTTCTACCTCCCTCTGCCATCTTTTAAGGACTCTTGTGGTTGCATGGAGGCCCCAGAGACTCCGGGAAAATCTTCCCACCTCAAAGGAAACCGATTAGCAACCTTATTTCCATCTGTAAGCTTGATTCCTGCTTGCCACATAATCTAACATATTCAGGGGTTCTAGGGGTTTGGATAAGGACACGGACATCTTTTGGGCGGGGCAGGGTGGGGATTGGGGGGATTATTCTGTCTACCAGAGCCCCCCTAGTGGTGTCTACCCACACTGACCACTCGGGCCTGGGGTGGAGTGCAGCTTCAGCAGGGAAGTGGGTGCTGGGCGGCGGGCACTGAGCACAGGGAATACCGGCTTCTGCGCCTCGCCATATATCTGCTAGCCTGGCCCTCCTGCCCACCCCAGCCCAGCCAGGTCAAAGCTACCAGCTAATACCATCCCCTCCCCGACCACACATGATCATCAGGTCAGCTTTGGTGGTCTGACACCACCCATCCATCCATGTGCGAGGCCCCCATCCCTGCTCTCTCTCCCTGATTTGCCCACACCCTCTCCTGTCCATCATCCCACAGCCGGGAAAGGCTGCCTCTAACTCAGGCCTCATCACAGCACCACCTATCGGTCACCTGGGTGAATGGCACCACTGGAATCATCCTGCAGCCTAGTCTTTCCCCCTCACCACACTCCAGTCCTGCAGCAGGTCCTGTCAGCTCTCCCACCAAAGTCCACCCCAAATCCATCCAATTCTCCAGACCCCTCCACTGATCCAAGCCTCGATGGTCTCTTTCCAGAATGACTACAGGGGCTTTCAGCCTGCTGTCCCCAACCCAGCCTGAATCTTCTCCTGAGGATGCCTCGCCCACGAGGAATAAACCCCAGCTCCGTCTGATGCCTGCCGATGCCCCCACACACATCTTCTCCTACCTTCCCCTCACTCACTCTGCCCAGCCACTCGGGCTTCACTTTGGTCTTTGACCATCCAAGCCCATCCCCAGGTCGGGGAGCAGGCTCTTCCCATTCCCACCACCTGAGACACCCTCCCCCAGGTCCTCCCAGGGCTGGCTCTGCCCCCAGGGTCCCCTCCTCCGAGAAGCCCTCCTGGGTTAGCCCTCCAGCTAACATTGACCCCCAGTCATTTCCCATCTGTCACCTTGTTCTGTTTTCATCACAACACCCACTACAGCCTGTGTACTTATTTAGAGACTGTCTCCCCCACTAGAACGTCACCTCCGTGAGGACAGGGCTGGGTCCGTCTTGTCCTCTGCTGTGCCTCCAGACCTAGCCCAGTCCGACACATGATAAGTGTTGACTGAATGCATGACGGCTCCCTCAGGACGACTCCTCCTCATGCCCACCATCGGAGCCCCTTTTTCAAATGGCTTCCTCTTCCCAAGTACACATATAGACCCTAAGAGGCAAAATCATTGAATTTCACCATGCTCGAGAACTGACAGACCTAACACTGTAGGGTAATTTTAAAAGATCAGCCTTTTTGTGAGGGTATCAGGCTGGGTGAAAAGAAGCATTATATTCCAGAAGCAGGACTTTGGAGCCTGTTTGATCTATGATCCTCACCCGAGACTCTAGCGTGCAGAACTGTCACCCCACACCCATCAGACTGGGTAACCCCAAGACTAAAGGCTCAGGAGAAGTGTGCCCACCCCTCGCTTAGCAAATTCCAGCATCTGGGCCTCCCCAGGGCCCTCTGGCCCTCTGCATACAAGCAGCCTGAACGAAGCATGCTTTTTCTCTCCTCTCCACTAACAAGTCTCTGAGACAGGACAACTTTCCACATAGGAGGCTGAGGCTTTAACTCACAATTGACATGGGTCATGAGAGAAAAAAAATGAGGAATCGTTCATTGGGGGAGCTTTCTGCTGGAGGGAAATCGAGGAGGGTTGAAAGAAGAAATTCTGCAAGAAGAGAAGTGATTACAGATGTGGGGTTTCACAAGCGCTCTCCAGGGCTTGCAGGATGAGAGGAATATTCCTTTACCTTCATCACTATTCTTGCCAAACAGAATGTCGTTTTCCCTCTTGTCTTTGGTGGCAAAGAGAATGCAGCAGAGCTGAAAAGCGGTCCCACTTAAAAGCGATCTTTCCCCTTCAAGGGATTCTGGCAGGCTTTGCCTGAGGAGATGAGTTCCAATTTTAGGTGAAGTTAAAAACACTCAACTCTTTAAAATCAAATCATTTTTTTCAAACACGGGTGTACCCTAGTTTTCCAAAACCTGATCTGTGAAACTAGCTTGCCCCAAAGATAAATGAGTGGCATGAGGATTTGCTTTTGTGAAAGAATTTGTTAGGAAGGCGCCCCTTTCAGATGTGGAAACCGCCGTGGCTCCTGTTAAGCACTGCTTCTCATCCATGCAGGGCTGTGTGTATGTGTGTGTACCCGCGTGTGTTTCCCCTGAACATGTCCATAGCACAGATGGACACTCAGGTATCGGAAATAGTTTCCATTTGTAATTGATAGGCTTTGCTGGTACCACTTGCATCCATGGGGAATTGAGCTGGGGAGAGGAATGGTGATTTTTAAAAGCAAAGTATTAGACTCTTACTACTTTTCCCTGGATCAGCTGAATTCTGGAGAGCTCTGTTGCTGTCATGTAGGGGTCTCAAACTCAAATGCCTACAGGGGCCAGGAAGGAAACATACATGAGAGAAGTAAAGTGGGTGTTAGGAAGACGACAGGGAGGGGTAGGGACTGTGGTGTATTGTAGCGTTCATGCCCTGCCTAAAGGGGGCAGTCATTTCTCAGCTGGAATTTGGGCCAAACATTACCAGATAGTCTGATTTTTCAAAAGAAACCAAGATATACGAATTTTTACAGGAAATGTCTCCATTTTCAAAATCTTCTCCAAGCCAGGCAAAATATTTGTGAACCAAATGCAGCCCATGAGCTATGAATGAATAAGCGATCTCATTCTAGTGGCACAAACCCTTAGCTTTGAGGGTTGGGAAGGAAGAAGTCTATAGAAGCTGAGATTTTGACCTCAGTTTCTCAGAAGTGCCCTCATCGTGTTGGCCTCACCAACAGGAAACGTAATCATTTGTTAAGCATTTCTTGGAGCTTTTACACTGCTGGGCACAGGGATTCAGAGACGAGTAAAGCACACTCTTCCCCCAGGGAGCAAGCAGTCTACTAAAGGAGCCAGGCTTGCACACAGATCATTCGAAAACAGGTGACAAGTGCAGTGAAGATAAATGGTGGGGGGGGGGTGCTGACATTCGATTTAGCTGGAAGAGCCAAGGAGGGCTTTCTGGAGGAATGCCTGTCCAATTCATTCCTGTATCCTCAAGATGATGTTTACTGATATATGAGCAAACATGGCACCGTTGTGATAACTGTGCATTTTTTGGACATTGACCCTGATTTATGGCAAGTGATATCAGTTTTCCATGTATGGAAGGAATACAAGGTGTCTGTTTGAGTTAAATACTAATAATAGTAGACAGTGGGAGTTCTCTGGTGGCCTACTGGTTAGGATTCCAGGTTTTCACTGCTATGGCCCGGGTTCAATCCCTGGTTAGGGAGCTGAGATCCTGCAAGCCACATTGTATGGCCAAAAAATAAATAAAATAATTTAAAAAATAATAGTAGACAGCAAGTATTGAGTACCTACCATGTCCCAGGCACTGTAGTAAGTGGTCTTAGACAGTACATAATTCATTGAATCCTCTCAGTAATACTGTGAAGTAGATCATATGGTCATACCCATTTTACAGATGAGGAATTGAAACACATTGAGGTCGAGTAACTTGCCCAGGCCGCGTGGCTCCAAAATCTATGCTTGTAACCACAACAGCAGACAGACATTTATTACTCACAGTTCTGGAGGCTGGGAGTCTGAGATCAGGGTGCCAGCATGGTCGGGTTCTGATGGGGGCTGTCTTCCTGACTTGCAGGTGGCTACCTTCTCACTGTGCCCTCACATGGGACCTCTAGTGTCTCTTCTTCTACTTATAAGGGCACTAATCCCACCACGGGGGCTCCACCCTCATGACTTCATCTAAACCTAATCACCCCCCAAAGGCCCCACCTCCTAATACCAACCCATTGGAGGTTAGGGCTTCCCCCTGTGAATTTGGGGGAACACAATTCAGTCCATATCAGCAAATATCTGCAGAATCAGCATCATCCGGAAGACTCAGGAGTCACTGTGGGTCTTTCCTCCCCTCTCCCCCCAGGCCCGAGAGGGATGTGAAGGCCCAAAATGACCCTCTTACCGGGAGACAATTCTGATTACGACTACAGCGCGCTGAGCTGCGCCTCCGACGCCTCCTTCCACCCGGCCTTCTTCCCCCAAAGCCAATCACTCAAGGGCGTCTTTTACCGCCGAGCCCAGCGGCTGCGGCCACAAGACGAGCCCCGCCAGGGCGGCCAGCCAGAGGACCGCAGGCGCCAGATCATCATCAACGTGGGCGGCATCAAGTACTCGCTGCCCTGGACCACGCTGGAGGAGTTCCCGCTAACGCGGCTGGGCCAGCTCAAGGCCTGCACCAACTTCGACGACATCCTCAACGTGTGCGATGACTACGACGTCACCTGCAACGAGTTCTTCTTCGACCGCAACCCGGGGGCCTTCGGCACCATCCTGACCTTCCTGAGGGCCGGCAAGCTGCGGCTGCTGCGGGAGATGTGCGCCCTGTCCTTCCAGGAGGAGCTGCTCTACTGGGGCATCGCCGAGGACCACCTGGACGGCTGCTGTAAGCGCCGCTACCTGCAGAAGATCGAGGAGTTCGCCGAGATGGTGGAGCGGGAGGATGAGGACGACCCGCTGGACAGCGAGGACCACGACAGCGAGGGCCCCACGGAGGGCGAGGGCCGCCTGGGCCGCTGCATGCGGAGACTGCGCGACATGGTAGAGAGGCCGCACTCAGGGCTGCCCGGCAAGGTGTTCGCCTGCCTGTCGGTGCTCTTTGTCACCGTCACCGCCGTCAACCTCTCCATCAGCACCTTACCCAGCCTGAGGGAGGAGGAGGAGAAGGTAAGAGCCCAGGACCACTCTCCTCCCAGAAGTGCACAGCCTTCTCACCTGCACTGTCACCTCCTCCAGGAGGTGTTCCCTGAGTGCACTGGTTGAGCAGCAGCCCAGTCCATCATTGTGCTTACATCTGTTTATAAGTGTGTTTATATGTGTGTTGCCCATCTCCACGTTCAAACACAAGCTCCATGCCTGTGCAGGTCTGCGCTGTGCCCTGCCCCCCCCCCAACATTGTCCAGCAGGGAGGAGGCACTCAGCCACTCCCTGTTGGATGGATGGATGGATGATGTGATTTATGATGTGATGTACCTGGCCCCAAGCTAAGCACATGACATATACCATCAAAATTTATTTCACCAACTTGCATCCTTTCTCAGCCTTGCTAATTCCCTTGCATGAAAATATCCCAGAAAGCTTTTTTGGGTCCTGAATATGAGTTTTATTGATAGATGTGTGTGTGTGCACATGACCTCAAATAGTGAGCATTTCTTTCTGTTAAATAAGAGAATTCCCATAAAGTGCTTACTCCAGGGCCTGACGGGGTGTGTGTCCAAGTCTCAGGGATACCACTCACTTAGCCAGCTGTTACTAGGAGCCAAGGGCCGGGCTGCCACTCTGCCTGCATCTTTTCTTCTCAGCGAATCTTCCAGCATCCTGGTATGGGAGGTGCTCTCACACCCACTTGACAGGTGAGAACACTGAGGCAAAGCAGCTTGCCCAGACCCAGGTCTGACTGAGTCCCTAGTCTGGCTCTTAAACATGGAAGTATGGGTGCCACGTGGCAGCCTGAGACCTCATCTAGCCCCACAGTTCAGCCTCCTTATGTATGAGACCCTCAGCCTTTGAGTTGGGACCCTTTCCCCATACATAGGGGTTCTGGAAGCAAGTCTCAAGACAGACCAAAAGGTTCAGATGGTGCAAATTGTGTAGGCATTGGAGAAATAGGTAGTATGGCGGTAGGAACTCAACATAAATATCATGCCAGCCAGCATTTATTGAGCACTGGCTGTGTACCCTGCATGTGCTAGGGGCTTTACATGAACTCTCTGATCAAACATTAGAACCACTCACCACGTGAGGGTTTTCCCACACACATATATTATGGAAAAAGTAGCAATAGTGTTGCATTTATAACTCGCAGGAAGTTTCTGGCACTTCTTTTTTAATACACTGCATTTTAAAAACCAGTGTTAAGAAAACAGCACTCCACCAGTAAAATGAACTTTTGAGAAGCATAAGGGGTAGTGATGAAGGGGGCAGGGCTAGAGCCAGACGGCCTGAATTTGAATCCCACTTCGTCCACTCTGGCTGTGTAACTGTAGGCAAGTTACTTAATGTCTCTGTGCCTCAGTTTCCCTACATGTCCAAGAGGCTGTGAACAGGCTCACCTCACAGCACTTGAGGGTTCAGTGAATGGGTCTACGGGAAGTGACTGGAACATTGCCTGGCGATGTGCGTGCGGGAAGTGCTCACTATGAGGATTATACGTGCCTACCAAAAAAAGAGAAAATGCCCGTCATTTGAGACCTGTCTGGAAGCACCTGTATTTAGTGTAGATTTCTTCTTGGCTCCAACATACACAATACTGATTTTATCAGGAAAATACTAACAAAGCCACAGTTTTATTCAACTTCTGATACTTGCTTTAAAAAAAAATACCTGGCCTTTTTCATGACTCAGTAAAAATGCTGTTCTTCTGCTTCATTTGGGGGACCAGTGGGGTTCACTGTTTCACCTGAGTACACGTTTGAGTGCCTACTGTATTCAGGCTCCACAGGGCAGACAGGATGACCAGAGTGAGTCTCCAGATTCAGGAAGCTCAAGTCTAGGTGACAGCCCCGTGACCATAAGTATGACACACAAGCCAAGGGGGCTCTTGTGAGAGGACCACCAACTGTGCTGGGGATACTTGGAGGGGAAGCACTCCAGGAAGGCTTCCCAGAGGAGGGGGCTTCCTGTCCCAGAGGTCTGAGATCTCAAAGCCTCACCCAGTACTAGTTCATCTCTCCAGCCTCTCACATATTCCTAGAGAAAAGGCTAGCAGAGCAGGTCTGGTAGAACCCAGCTGTGCCCGGGAACCGACAAGATGCCCCAGGTAGAACCATTTGTGCCTTCCCTCTCTGCCAAAGGCCCCTTTGAGATTGAGGTCCAAACCCACTGGGGACGGTCCACCGTCCAGTTGTATTGCAGACCAGAGCAACAGCTGGCAGCCCACATGACAGATACAGCGCACAGATGTGTTTGAGTGAACCATGGAGTGCTTTCTTTGTATTGAATTGTCACAACATTTAAAACCCAGGAGATTTCATGTAAAACTCCAAATTTCCAGCTTCTCTTAAAAAATTCGGTGAGGCAGCCTCAAGACCGAATTCTCCTGGGACAGCCATCAGGGGGCGACGAGCTAGATGGCTGCGCCCCCCAGCAGGCCTCCACCCCACCTGGGCCACCTCCGCGGCTTTCCCTTTGCCTGCCTGGCCTTCGTCTGACACCCCGTCTAAACACCAGGCCAGGGCTCTTCCGTCCATCCTGGTAACAAATATGAACGGACCACTGGGCGCGTGCTGGGCCTTTCCGGGCACTGGGGTCCTGAGAGTGAACAATACATAAACTGTCCTGCCCTGTGGGGCTACAGTCTCCTGGGGCAGTGCGGCAGGCAGGCAGGGCTGAGACAGATGATAAACATGGTAAATAAGTAACTTATTAAGCATATTAAAAGATGATGAGCATTACGATCAAATAGAGCAAGGGGAATCGGGGTACCGGACAAAGGGGGGAGGGCTTTTAAACAGGGCAGGTCCCAAAAGCCCTCCCTGGGAAGGTGATATGGAAGTAAAGAGCTGGAGGAAGGGAGGGCAGAGCGATACAGGTGTCTGGGGGAAGAGGAATCCTGCAGGGAAGGTCAAGAAAAGTCAACGCTGAGCTGGGGGTGAGCCTGGGGTGTTGGAGGAGCAGTGAGGAGGCCCGTGGGGCTGGAGCAGGTGAGCGAGGCAGGGAGGGGGCAAGGAAGTGGGAGAGGTGGTGGCTTGGCCACCTGTGCCCCTGGGGGACTTGAGCCATCTCTCTGAGCCATGGAGGATGCTCAGCAAGGAGGGACAGCATCCGATTCATGTTCTGAGTCCCTCTGGCCGTGTGTGCGAAGTGGACTGCAGGGACCAGGAAGCCCAGGGAGGAGGTGGCTGCGACTGTGCAAGTCAGAGAGGGCGGTGGCTGGACCCAGGTGGGGCAGTGGACAGAGTGAGAAGTGCTTTGACTCTGGAATCATTTTAAACGAAGCACCAGTGGGATTTCATGAGGATTACAGGGGAGGCGTCAGGATGAGGCCAAGTCTGTCCTGAGCACCCGGAAAAATGGGATTGCTGATCGCTAAGAAGGGAATCCACAGTGGGCAGGTGTGCAGGCAATCAGGAGCCCAAAGAGACTAGATCGTAAATGTTCTCAACACAGTAAACGGAACGATAATTATTCATATTGCAATATATACATGTATCAACTCATTGTACACCTTAAATTTGTACACCATGTTATATGTCAGTTACATCTCAATAAAAATAAATTTTAAGAAGAAAGAAATCAGGAGCCCGTTTCAGGACATGATGAGTTTGAGACACCTACCAGACATCCCAGGAGGCAGCCCGTCTGGGGGCTGGAGTTCAGGGGCGAGGTCTGGGCTAGAGAGAGATTAGGAATGGTCAGTGTTGAGATGGTACTTCAAGCCCTAGGTCTGCATGGGATCAACCAGGGAGTGAGCATAGCCAGAGAAAGAGAGGACTCGGGGCCGCAGGACACGGACAGGCACATGCCCAGACCACCCTTCACCCGGGTAGCCCAGCCAGGACAGAGCCCCGTGCCCCTTGCTGGTGGGACCGCTGACCTCTCCCCTCTCTCCCAGGGCCAGTGCTCCCAGATGTGCCGCAACATCTTCATCGTGGAGTCCGTGTGTGTGGGCTGGTTCTCCCTCGAGTTCCTCCTGCGTCTCATCCAGGCGCCCAGCAAGTTTGCCTTCCTAAGGAGCCCGCTGACGCTGATTGACATGGTGGCCATCCTGCCCTACTACATCACCCTGCTGGTGGACGGCGCCGCCGCGGACCGCCGCAAACCCGGCACAGGCAACAGCTACCTGGACAAGGTGGGGCTGGTGCTGCGCGTCCTGCGGGCGCTGCGTATCCTGTACGTCATGCGCCTGGCCCGCCACTCGCTGGGGCTGCAGACGCTGGGGCTCACGGCTCGCCGCTGCACCCGCGAGTTCGGTCTCCTGCTGCTCTTCCTCTGCGTGGCCATCGCCCTCTTTGCCCCCCTCCTCTACGTCATCGAGAACGAGATGGCCGATAGCCCCGAGTTCACCAGCATCCCTGCCTGCTACTGGTGGGCCGTCATCACCATGACAACTGTGGGCTATGGCGACATGGTACCCAGGAGCACGCCTGGCCAGGTGGTGGCGCTCAGCAGCATCCTCAGCGGCATCCTCCTCATGGCCTTCCCCGTGACCTCCATCTTCCACACCTTCTCCCGCTCCTACCTGGAGCTCAAGCAGGAGCAAGAAAGGGTGATGTTCCGGAGGACCCAGTTCCTCATCAAAACCAAGTCGCAGCTGAGCAGCATGTCCCACGACAGTGACATCTTGTTTGGAAGTGCCTCCTCAGACACCAGAGACAACAACTGAGCCCAGAGGACACAACCCGCCACCGCCACCGCCAGGACACCCCCAGCCCTACCCGCCCTCTGAGGCTTGAAGCTATCGCCATCACTGCAGACGCCTTCAAAGGCACGTGCTGCTTCTGAGCGCAGCCCTGGCCTAGGAGTGACCGAGCCACGCCCCAGGGAGGATGTCCCAGCATCCATCCGCAGGGGGTCCCTGGTCCTCAGAGTCCAGAAGTGAAGCCCAGCACACAGCCCTGTCGGTCCCCCCGCCCTCCCCAGCCCCCATGCCTGTTTCCCTAATAAGGAAATGGCTTGTTCTTTCCAACATGTAAATAACATGCCCAGCAAAGACTTGCTTTCTGTGGCTGCCTAGAGAAAAAATACCAACAGCAGCAGCTACACGTCTGTCTTCAGTGCGGATCATGTGCAATTAAAGAAAACCGGTGAAAAAGAGAGAAAAAGCCTTCCACGGAGCTCTCTTAAGAGAGGAAACGGCGCTTCCCAGCAAGGCCAGCCAGTGTGGGAACCAGAAGTAAAAGGGCCTGTTTCCTTGGGTCCTTCATGCCTGGTGGGGTCCCCGTGGGCTTGGAGGAAAACAGGGCAGGTACCTTTGGGAAACTGCTGGTAAAGACTGCAGTCCGTCGCTCTTCTTTCTCTTTGATTCCTCCCACCTCCAGGCCTCTCTTTCCCTCCTTTTTCCTCTCTCCCATCTGCTGTTCTCGTTTGCACCTTAAGGCCTTTTTCTCAAACTTTTCCCCCAAGGCACCCCTAACAGCCTTGTAGACACCAAGTCAGCATTGCTGACTACAAAGGTGAAATCACTTCATTTTCTCTTTAAAAAAAATAGTGTGGATTTTTTTATTCTATGCCACATTTATTTTAATTTTTGAAAAAAAAATGCTTCAGACTGTTTATCTGAATCTAAATGTAAACCTAGATGACATTAGGTTGATGCTTTGGGAAGGTGGACCACAGTTTCCTGGGCCATCTGAGAGCATAGTCTGAAGCCCCCAAAGGCCTCCCTGGGCCCCTCAAAGACCTACAGAGCACCCACCCGACCAGGAACACCTCCCGATCTCATGCAGTATGGATGGTGCCAGGTAGAGAGGGAGCCCCAGGGCAGCCCACCAGATTTACTCTGCTTGCAGAGTTCAGAGCCCCTCGGTGCCAGTCTGGAGAGGGGGCTTGGCGCCCAGGTGGCAGTCACACGCCTGCCTTCCGCCTCACAGATACCGCAGCATCGCTGGCTTCTCCACCCCAAACACCTGCTGCCTTGGCCCCGGCTCCTCCCCTTGGCCAGCTGCGGAAAGCAAGCTCTAAAATAAATCTGGTCCCATCACTGTCCTGCCTAAACCCACAGCGGCATCCATCACGCTGAGAATAAAGCATAAATGCCCGGCATTGCCTGGGCCTGCTGCCCTCTCCAGCCCCATTTCCCACGTGTCTCTCTTTCGCTCACTCCATCCAACTACGCTGGCCTCCACACTGCTCTTTAGAAGCACCCAACCCATTTCCCTCCCCAGGCCTTCACACATTCAGATCCCTCGGCCAGGAACACCGTTCCTGCTGAGCACTGCAGAGCTGCCTCCTCCCATCACCTTCCTGACCACTTGCCTAGAGAATCCCCTCCAGCACGCGCGCTGCCCGCGCTGTCTCTCTCACCCAGCTTATCTTCTCCATCCACTTATCGGCTTCTGGAATTGCCTTGTTTATTTCTCTGCTCCTCACTTATGGTCTGTCTCCCGCCCAAGGAGGTCAGTGCTATCGTGGCAGGGATTCAGCGATAGAGCTCACGGCTGACTCCCAACAGCTAGCACAGGGCCCGGCAGCCAGCAGGTACTCAACAGACATTTGTGGAATGAATGAAAGACTGAGGGGAAGCAAGAAAAAGGGCCAGAAAGTAGAAAGGCTTTTGCTTTTAACACTGGATAGCGGGACGTCCGAGCACCTCTCCCTCTCCCTCTCCCTCCCTCTCTCTCTCTCTCCCCCTACCCAGTGCGGAGGCAGGGGCAGTGCTACCTCTGCACAGTGTACACGCAGTGATGCCGACTGGAAATATGCAAGTCACGCGGGCCTCGTTAAAGCCTCCCCCTGACACCTGCTTCCAGTGACTCACGCCTGAAAAGTAAGTGTTCCGACTAATTAGCTCTACCCTCCGGAGCCCGGTGGGTGTCATAGAGATCAGGCACTGCCGTCACCCATAATAATACCTTAGATTTATGGAATGAGCTTTGCCCCCCTCCGAAGTGGCTAAGAGAGAACGGAAGACAATTGAAAACGCAGAACAGAGAGAAACGTGACACACAAAGAGCCTTTAAAACTCCAGGGAGGGGAAAGCAAATACCATCTGAGGTGGGGGGAGCCCAGAGCAGGCCACGCTGGGAGGGGAGTCATGCGCCCACCACACCGAGGGCAGAGGAGGAGCTGGGTCACTGAAGGTCCAGGTTTCTGGCATCTTCTTGCCCAGATTCTCATCTGTGCTGGTGACTGAGGTGGAGGCCCAGACGCAGGTGCCTCTCAAGACCTCCCTTGAGGGACAAAGGGGCTCGAGATACTGACCTTCACACCCAGAGTGGTGCTTAAGGATCCTTTGCCCTAATTAAGAATCCGGAGGCCTCAGGACACCTAACTAGCCACTTCTAGGACCATCATCGACTTGACTATAGTGGCTTTTCCACTCTTTTTTAGCAATATGAAATCTGATGAAGAAGCCCAGCTAAAATTTGGACTGAATAAGGGCTGTTCTGTTGGAAGTTGGGGGCACAATTCTTCTCCCGGTCCTAAGGGCACCTCCCTTTTGACCCCGGTTCAGACAGCTAACTCCACGCAGTGAAAATTACGGTGAGTGAAAATCACTGCTCTAGGGGAAACGGCAAAGCAGACCTTTCCCAAATTTGTCTTATTTTTTAGGTCACATGGACATCCCCCATCTATAGTTGAGCTCAGGGCTTCCCTAAGACTCACAGTGGGGACTGGGAAAGGCTGATTTCACAGTACAGATTCTCAGCCCACCTCAGAGGAGGGCTGGGACCTCTTACCTCGGATACAGAATTTAAGGGGGAGTCAAAAAAAAACCTTAGTAATCAAGATAAATCATATTTCAATGCAATATTTTTAAAATATCAAGACTAATGATAAAAACCCATGATGAACAAAATAAAGACAGGATCTGCCTTTGCAACTGCATAACTCTGACCCACATACCTCTCTTTAGTTCCGGTCCTGACTGGACACCCCTGCCATATTCTATAGGACAGTTCCAGCCAGCCAAGCCAGTCCCCCAGGAAGCACAGGTGGGAGCCTTTAGCACCTGGCACCGCAGCTGCTGGGCATGGGCACCCTTCCCACTGGAGGGGATCAGAATGGCCACCAACCCCACCTCCTACCCCAGTGAACATTTGAGAACCAGGCCCCTGCCCTCATGGGGCCCGCACAGTGATGGGGGAGAGAGAGAGACAGTGAAATGCAAATTGAAGAAAATAATTTCTGATGTTGGTGAGCACAGGGTGACCTGGCAGACAGCGACGGGGGCCAGAGGAGAGGTGGAGAGCAGCCCCTGAAGAGAGTCAAGGAAGGACTTTCTGAGTAGGTGACATTGAAATGGGGACCAGGAGGAGGGGAAGGGGCAGCAATCCAAGAAGAGGGCACAGCCAGTGCAAAGCCCAGAGGTGGGGAAGCCCTGGACATCCCACCAGCTGTCGAGGGAGCCTGTGGGCACATGGCCCCACTGCGAGAATCCTTCCTCCTAGGGAGAAAACTCAGATCTGCAAAGTTGACACTCTGAACAAACATTTCCAGAGACCTTACTCTGAGCCAGGCCCTCTCAGAGCAGCTGGGGACAAAACAATAAAACAACAGAACTGGACTCAGTCCCTGCCCCAGAGGTGCTTATTATTTAATGGAGAGAAAGACACGTGAATAGAAGATTTCTGCGCATGTGGGATGATGGGGGTGCAGGCGCAGGGAGCTGTATGAGCATGGAGAACGACATCAACTGGGAATTCCCTGGTGTTCCAGTGGTTAGGACTCGGTGCTTTCACCGCCAGGACCTGAGCTGGATCCCTGGTTGGGGAACTAAGATCCTGCAAGCTTCACAGCACAGCCAAAAAGAAAAAATCAGCTAAAGGAAGCATGATTTTCACTCAGATTTACATTTGCTAAACGGCCTCACATACATTTTCCTCCAGAAAAAAAAAAAAATAGTATTCCTCCTAACACTGGTTCTCCTACCTCTCCATCCAGTCCTGTTAACTTGTATCAGGAATCTGGCCACTTAACCTCCTCCAGTGGTCCAGCCCCCATCCTCTCCCACGTGGATTGTTGCTGAAGCCTCCTCCTTGGTTTCCCTGCTCTCCTGCTTCCCCTCCCATCTGTTCTCTGCACAGCACCAGACGGACCCTGTTGAAACGCAACTCTGATCATACTCATCCTCTGTACAGAGTGTCTCCCCCAACCTGGTGACATTCCATCCCACTCAGTCAAAGCCAGTGTCTCTCGTGGCCCCAGCTCCCTGACCTGGTGTCCTTGTCTCCCTCTCATCTCTCCCTTCAGCTACACCAAACTCTTTATTCAATGAACAGACCAAATACAGTCCCTCCTCAGGGCCTTTGCACTTGCTGTTTCCTCTGCCTGGAAGACTCTTCCCTAAGGTATATCCACGTGCTCCCTCTCTTTATTAGGGTCTCTGCTCAAATGTCACTTAAACAGAGAGCTCTTATCTGACCTCATCCCCACAGCCTGTATAAAAGACCACACTCCTAGCATGCCCCCAGTATATTAACCATGGCTTTTCTTTTCTGTATTCTGATGCGTTGACATCTGGGACCTTGCAGACCCTGCAAGGACTGCTCCTTCCAGGGACAGCCAGTTCCTAGAGATGGTAAACCACTCACCCGCAAGCGTGCTTTTCAAATACAAACCAACCAATCCAGATTCCATACCCTTAGCCACCTCCTTCCACCTCCCTTTTGGAGCTCTCACACACCAGGCCACTGTCCACATGCCCTCATCACCCCAGGGCCAGATCAGACAACCAAGCACAGCCCTATGCCCCAGGGCTCGCTGAAATTTTTCAAACTAGCCAATCCTAAGCCTGCTTACCCTGCCTCACCCACTCCTTCCCTCAAAAACCTCAGTAAAGTTCTTGCCCACAGTTACCCCCTCCCTCTGCCTCTGACCAGCCCTGTGCTTCCCCATGTGTCCCCCCACGATGTGGCATGCCCCCTTCTCTTGGGAACTATGAGTATAACAAACTGTCTTTTCAATGGCAACTGATCTGTTGGCCTCGCCGTATATGAATAATAATAAAATCTATATATAAAACACCCAGCCCCTTAACCTGCTTCATCCTTCTCTGAGAGCCTTATTATCACCCAATACCTTATATATTTGTTGCTCATGGGCTTTCTTTCTCCACTAGATGGTCAGCTCCATGAGGGCAGGGACCTGCACAGCAGTATCCTCAGTCTATGACAGCACCTGGCACGTAGTAGGTGCTCAATAAATATTTGCTGAATAAATGAATCTGTGGGTCCCTTCTATACAGAGTCCTACAAAATACATACACATATCAACCATATTTGTTCATACATATGGCGGCATGACTCTCATTACAATCTATTCCTGTAAAAGGGCACCACAATTAAGCGGTCAAATAACCCACCCCCACCCCCACGTCACCGGATGATTTCTGCTTGGAAACCATCTCCACCATGTGAATTTATTTATTTTATTTTTTTGGCCACTCTGCATGGCATGCAGGACCTTAGTTCCCCCAACCAGGGATCAAACCCATGCCCCCTGCATTGGGAGCGCGGAGTCTTAACCACTGGACCGCCAGGGAAGTCCCTCCACCGTGTGAATTTAGTCCTCCATCAACATCCATGTATTTTTAATTAAATGTATAAAAAGAGGGCTTCCCTGGTGGCGCAGTGGTTGAGAGTCCGCCTGCCGATGCAGGTGACACGGGTTCGTGCCCCGGTCTGGGAAGACCCCACATGCCGCGGAGCGGCTGGGCCCGTGAGCCATGGCCGCTGAGCCTGCGCGTCTGGAGCCTGTGCTCAGCAACGGGAGAGGCCACAACAGTGAGAGGCCCGCGTACCGCAAAAAA